CATGTCCAGTGTTTCCAAGGACATTCTAGAGTTTGTGCCGCGTAGATATCTCAAGCCAAATTCTTCAGATTCTCTTGTTCCTCATTTTCTTCAGAACAGACTAAAAAAGTTGAGGCGACAACTGCGTGACCCATCCACTAGTTCCTTATCAGTTCATCTTAGAATCACAGAGATTTTTGAGATGGCCTCAAGGATGCGCCAAGCGCGCGACAGGCAAAGAGAATCAATTGCTCTCAGTGGTTCGAACCCTGGCAAATCCGTCGCTAACATCTTCCGTCATCGGTCCTCCTCTAAGCGTGGTCATGAACTTCCACCCATGCTAAATGATAACAAAGTCTTCCTCACCGATGACACTGACAAGGCGGACTTGTTTAGTGCTTTCTTTGCAAAACACCTTGCTACCGAGTCCGATCCGGTCCCTTTCTTTCGATCACTTTCAGATAGGACACTGAGTACAATTGATGTCTCCTCAGATCTCATTAAGAAACACATAAGCCGTTTGAAATACTCACACTGCTCAGGAACGGACGGGATTCCGAATTCGATTATTAAACAAGCGTCCGACGTTCCCATATTGCTTAGTCATTTATTCTCGGTTTATATTTCAAAAGGATTCTTTCCTGAAACATGGAAAACGTCAATTATAATTCCCGATTTCAAGTCAGGATATCGGTCCGATGTTAATAACTATCGGGGTGTGCACAAAACGCCGTCTCTAGCAAAACTTCTTGAAAGGATTATTTTCAATGAAATTCTTGACTTCTGTATAGCTAATCGGCTTAACTGAACGATCCTGCGAAACATGCCACTTGGCTTTTCTTAATCTTATCACTTCTCTTCGTAATGAGCGGCAGTCAGTGGTTGTTATTTACTTTGATCTTAGCAAAGCCTTTGACAAGGTGCCCCATAGACGTCTTTTAGTAAAATTGGAAGCCCTCGGCATCCGGCCGCCTCTACTCGACTTCATTAGGTCCTATCAGTCCAACCGATATCAGAAAGTCATGGTCGGTAATAGCTACTCGACACCTCACTCGATCACGAGTGGCGTACTTCAAGGCACGGTCCTGCGTCCGCTACTCTTCCTTCTGTGCATCAATGATATTTCGTCTGAACTCGGAAATTCGCAAACTTTTACTTATGCCGATGACGTCAAGTGTGTTTACTCATACTCAAAGGACACAGCTAACGTTTGTGTTGAAAAAATTAATGCCGATTTACATCGCTTAAGCAGATGGGGTTCGACATGGCAGATGGAGTTTTCATTATCCAAGTGTAGTTTCATGTCTTTTGGTCCTACCAAACTTCCTGGTCCCATAATTTTTCAGAATAACCCACTCTCAGAATGCCTCACCATAAAGGACCTAGGTCTAAGTTATACAAATAAGCTTGCTTTATCACCTCATGCAGATAGAATCTCTGCCAAAGCCGCGCAGATATGTGGATTCATATCGCACAATTTTTTCCTTCCGGAAATGAAGCTTAGACTTTATCAAATGTTTGTTCTCCCAGTCCTCGAATATTGCTGTCCTTTCTTTGGTTTAATGAGCGCCTGCGACCGTAATAAAATCGAAAATGTTCAGAGGGTTTTCACCCGGAAACTGTTCTCTCAAGCTTCGTCCAGTATTTCTTATACTCAGAGATGTCAGCTGGCGAACATGAAGTTTTTGTGGGTTAGAAGACTCGAAGCTGGCCTTTGCTTCCTTTTTCGCATCAACTCTATCTCCAGTCTTCCGCACATTGACACTCTCACTCCGAGAGATCGGCCTTATGCCACGCGCAACTCCTGCATGGTGATTCCGCCGCCTCTTTGTACTACATCTAAGCGCTCCCTCTTCTTTGCTTCCAAATATGCCTTCCTTTGGAATAATCTTCCGCCTGAAATTAGATTATCGCCTAGGTTACTGATATTCAAGTCGAAATTACGCAACCATCTTACACCGGAAAGCATAAAGGCACTGTTAACGGTCTCATTCCCGAACACTCAGGTTCTTGACTTCGAGAAGGGTCCTCCTGGGATTTAGTGGTAGATTAAGTGGTAACTCTTAATTATATCATTAGAAACCCCTGTTTTTAATTGGTTTCTAAATCCATTGCTATCCTTCCCCCCCGCCATAGCGACAATTTTCGCGGTTTTTGATGTCATCTCCCGCATTCCGACCTCATGCGGTCTGTCGACACTCACGGCGGAACCCTCAGTCTTCACTGTTTACTAGTTGTTCGGTCGTACCTCCCTTCCTCACTGCTGGGCTGAGCTCGAAGCGTGCTGTGGCCGATCGCATCTGGGTTCCTCTCATCTGGCCTCTTTGACGCGGCGTACCAATCCGGCCCAGACGATCTCAATTGTGAATCCCGTATACAATGCCATTTGCAAGCCAGTCCTGTCTGACCCACATTCGTACCCATCAAGGCGGACAGTTATTGATACCCTGACGATGACCGAAAACATTCCGTTATATACCGCCACCTACAGGCCAGTCCTGCTCGCTTTTTTCTGTTATTATTTTTAAAGAGGGGTTTTTTCTCCTGTAAAATTAATCCAGTCCTTTTTAACTTTTTCCGAGGAGTTTTTTTCACCCCTCAATCTTCATGTTTCTCAATGGACTTCTAATTCAGAAACTATGAATTGCATTTTGTAAAGATTCGGCCTATCTCGTCTAAAACTCGCATGCAAATTTATTTTAACTTGCTTTGATGGGACCCCGACGGGTCTTTAATAAAAATTATCTGTCTATCTAAAATGATCTAGATCTATTTAGGCTTTTTGATTTGGATTTATTTAAGCCATGCTTACTTGCAGAGGCCGATAGCTTTCACCCACCTGTGTCTATTCCTCTCATCTTGTCTCGAGGCAAGTTTTAATTAAGAAAACTTCCTACAGACCAGGTAACCGAATTTCAACTTAAGGCCAACGATGCAAAAAAATCCCACAGTTAGAGAGAAATCAGATGCACAAAATGCGAATTGCAGAGTAAGACTGGTGGTCAACATACACAGACTAGCAGAACTCAAAAAGGAAATGGCAACTGGTAGTTCTGAGTGAATAGACCTGTATTTAAGGAAATTTAACCAAAAAACAGGGGCTTAAATCGTTAGGTCTCTCAGAAAAACTACTTAAAATAATATCTTCCACTTACCTTCAAATTCAAAACCAGACGAATAATAATAATAAGGTGAGGAAGAGTAAGAAAAAGCATGAGGAGAAAGAGAGGGTATTGTTGTTGTTGTTTTGATTTTGGTTGTTTCGACCGTGACTTCAGCATCTGCGACTACAGTCAGCCTGCAGACGACGTGGTTCCCCAGAAATCTATAGCGCACCTTTTTAGCCCCTCCCCTTGTGGACGAGCAGTGCCTCCCTAAATAGGGTGCCCGGTTGTGCTGGCGCGGCCGAACTCCGCTATGGGCTACGAATTTTGTTTTAGTGGAAGAACGACTCGAATTTACCAAAAACTTACGACATCGCCACAAGCCCGCGGCCTCCTGCGGTGCACCAGGCGGAGCCCCGTCTCGACGATGCCGATGGGAAGTTCTAACGGGCCGGCTGACCATCGGCGTACCGGACGGAGCCTCGTCACGACGGTACCGATGCACTGTTCCATCAGACCAATCACCCAACGGAGTCCGCTCTACGGTGTGCGCGGGCACAGAGCGCACGCGGATACCCTCACCCGGTTTAATCCGCCGGTGGAGGCGGTTACCGGGGTGTGGCCGCTGGGCAGAACCCAGTTTCAGGGAGCCACACGCGAGAGTTGGGTGCCAGCAAATGGAGGCTGGGCGTAGTCTTCACCCGCAAGCAAGTGAGCGACCTACTACGACCATCGCGTGAACCCACCGCTGGACACCCCTACACCCCACACACGCACGCACACACACACACAGTAGTACACATATAGGCGCTAACACCAGCGTGAACACATGCACATACTGGAACTGGCAAAAGCAGTAGCCCAACACACACATACACACAGACAGAATGGCTACGGCCACCAGTTTACCGCCCCGCATCCTTCCATGACCGCGTGAGCAGCAATGCCGTTTGTCTGATCTCCACAGGTTTACAGGTCGTTTTGCATTTAATTACCACTATTATGCCTTCTTAGCAATTTGAGGGGACTGAGGCCTTATCTGTGTATTTCACTGGGCTTATAGGAGGTCTTTTGATGGTGTAGATGCATGCAGTCAACAGGACAATATTTTCCGATCATTTGAACCTCCGAGATTCTCAGCTTAGGCGTACAATTATTTCTATGACGGGTCGTATTGATTGAATTCGCTTCCGAGCTTTCCAATAGCAGGTCTGTTAAAACAATCAATCTAAGCCGAGTCGCATCTCAGTCCTTTAGAAACACTTCACTATACCACTTCGAGCAAATATTGACATTAGTTATTTTCTGGTTTATTCCGTCCGTAAATTTGGAATTGCCCGTGCACATCGGTCATTCTTTTTTACCCTGTCTGTAACTATCTGGCTGGAAGATTATCGATAGTAACAACTGCTGACGACCTAGGAGTGTGTTTATTGAGCTGAGACCATTGTGTCGTTTTCACCTTTGAGTCCTCGCTCCCAAAAGTGTAAATACCATCCATATTCTCTAGTTGTTCTTATTCGGAAGACTTGGTCTTCCTCATAACCGATATCACCCCTTGTAGCTCACAATCTCTTGAGTGCTTAGAGCTTATCACTTCTCCAGTCTGTTTATCATTAGATTGTTAGGAGTCGAACGATCATTCCAGGCTGGCAAACTGTGAAGTGTCACCCTGGCAATCTCCGGGGATATCGGAATGGTGGAGGTGGTTTTTGTCTGGTATATCGCATCGGCCGCACATTTTGCGTTCCCAAACCACGATCAGCCTTTCGAAAACGCGTTTTAGCAGCAGTGTTAGGCACATTTTCTAGTCCTCTTCTTCGTCAGGTAGTGAACAGTGCTAATCCTAACCAGGACTGCTTAGTCATCCTAAGCCGCCGCCGGATTTCGTTATAGTTCATGGATTTTTTAGTAGAATTACAGCTCCAGACATCCTGGGTCGTTGATGGGATCACTGGCACTCATTCCGTAAATCAATCTATGTTTGGGTTGAGGGGGTGGGACATCTGGGTGGACCGCCGGACGCAGATTCGCGCAAATCACATAACCTCGACTGGTTTAACTGTCCCAGTCGAAGCGGTTACTGAGGTATGGCCATAAGCAGTAAATAACCTTGGGAAGCCGCGTATGACCTGTGTAAGGCGGTCAAAGTCCATGCAAAAAACCATTACATATAGCAGGTTCAAGATGTGATTTATCACTCGTACACGGTGTATCACCACATTGAACATCCCACATCCTATAATTCGCCATCTTCTTAGGCGAATAAGCCAAGTCTCGGAAGACCCTACTGACGGATATTTGGCAACCCGGACAAAATAGTAATGTTACTCTGAATAAGCGGTCAATATTTTGTGGATTGTAGGTTGCCGAGTGCAGAGGACTCCACTTAACCTCAAGTTGAAAAATAAGCTAGAAACAAGGTCTACGTATTTTTGCTACGTTAGGAGAATCGTCTTATTTCCGCGATTTCCTAGTTGAAGTCATGCAAGTCGACGATTCAAAACTACGTCAATGAAACTAATGGACTCGAGAACATTTGTTTAAAGAAAGGCAAGATCATTTTCTGCATACCAGATGCTTCACTAATTAGATGACGAACTTAACCAAGTCATCAACAGTTCTGAAAACTATATTAGGCATATTTAATTTGGAAACTGCATCAAGGCGCGAGAAAAGTGGACATAATTCCAACACGAATTCAATGTAATCATTTAACGCGGCTATATCTGGCTGCTTAACATTAAATATGGATTGAGTCTTTCAATTTTTGAAAACTTTAGTTCGTCGAGCAGCATATTGGTACAAATTTGACACCCGATGACCGCTGCCTCATTTAGAATGTGTAGGTATTACCAATAGCTATATTCCAGTAAGCGTTAGAGCAAGGAAAAGCTTAGCTGTCGGAGACAGTCAAAATATTCAGCATGCCAGTTAGAAAATGCGTACAGAATGGTAAAAGAGAGCAAACGTTAACAACCTGGCAAAAAGGACATAGGAAGCGTCGACAAGTGTTCCTATTGCAAAAATGAATGCCTAGATTTTTTGTTCTCGAAGAAAAACTTAAATTCTTTTGAATGTCATGGAAAAATTGCCCTTTAAAATGCTTTTTCGGGCATATTCAAATTGAAAGTGCATGTGACTTAAGCTTTGGATAGCCGATATTCAGTCAAATGTTAAATTTATCACAGAAACTTGTACTTGAAGACGACAGTGATGATGTGAGATGATATAAGATATAAGATGATATAAGATAAGATATAACATAAAATATGATATATATCTATTAAAGGTATTATACAGTACTTCCGACGTAGATACTTGCTAAAAGGCCAGACACGTGTTTCGCCGATATTCTGCCGCTGCGTGACAGCTGCGAGGGGTTCGGCTCTTCAGTGGGACCCCCAGCGTCCTCTAGCGGTTTTTGGTATATGAATTCCAAAGAAGAATCAAGCGAATAATTTTAGAAATTAATCAGTGCAGGACTTGGAGTTTACTCTCCGGGACATGACTTTTTAGGGTCAGAACCGAAATTTCAATGAACATTTGAGTCGAAGACAATCAACTACTGTGGAATAACCACGTAATGCCCATTCTACAAACAAGTAGTACTACGAGTAGTATGAATTTCATATGGTAAAGGTATTATACCGTAGAATTGCTTAAGCTCTGCCTCACTAACTATTGCCAATTCGATGGCAAATACTACCAGCAGGTTAAGGGCACCCCAATGGGTTCGCCAATTTCGGGGCTACTTGCAGAACTAGTCTTACAACGACTAGAACAAGATGTTGTGCAAAGTTTCCAACCAAAAACGTGGCTCAGATACGTAGATGACACATTTGTCATCGTTAAGACCTGTGAAGTTGAGCGATTTCACCAGAGCTTGAATGGCGCCTTCCCAGCACTACAATTCACTCGTGAAGATGCAAAGGAGGCACCCTCCCATTCCTAGACGTGAGCATACAAAAGCTCAGTGACGGCGGCATCGCAACAAGCGTTCATCGGAAAAGCTCTGACGCTGAGATCATCCTGAGCTATCAGAGTAACCACCCAGCAGCCCATAAAAGAAGCTGTGTTCGGACCCTTTTCCACAGGGCCTATCGTTACTGCAGTAGCGCCGATTTACTCAAAGATGAACTGGCCTACTTGCATCGCTTTTTCCGACTCAACGGATACCCGGCGAGCTTTGTGAAAAATTGTCTCAGACGTCAACAACAACCACAAAATGTCGACTCTAACGGAGACAGAGTATCACGGAAATTCTATTCCCTGCCCTACATGCCGAGAATTTCCGAAGCGATCGCTCGACAATTAAATCGATTCGGCATCTCCATCGCCCACAAACCGGCGTCTTCATTGCGCACGACATTATTCCGGGTAAAAGACCCCATACCGAAGGAGCAGCAAACAAATGTGATTTACCGCATTCCATGTTCAAACTGCTCTAGCGTTTATGTTGGGCATACCGGCCGACGACTTGGGACCCGCATTAACGAACATAAGCTGGCCATCCGCCGACGGGACCCCTTGTCTCTCGTGTTTGCGCACTCCCTTGAGTGTGATCACCGCTTCAACTGGGAGGGGACCGAAGTGATCGCTAGTGCCAACACCAAACAAGCGCGAGAGTTTCTAGAAGCTTGGCACTCTAATAGCAATAGCATCAACCGCCATGTCGACTTGGACGCTCAATACGAAGGCTTACGTTCACGGTTCGCCGGCTTGCGCCCACCCTAAGCCACCAACTGCTAATCCATGTTCGGCCATGTAGAATATCATGGATTCAACACCTCCCCCACAGAGTGAACCATGTGTGAAACCCCCAACACCACCCCTTACGTCCGCCACCTATCCAAACACGTTCTTCACCCCCACACATAAACGCCTGTCTGGTCGATGTGACCTCGATGTCCCCCTGACTCCCCAGTAGGATTATCTCCCTCACACTTTTCATTTTCGTCTGACGACGGGTTGGTGTAACCGACTTGAAAATTCACGAGTATACCTCGATTTTCCGACGAGCCTTCTCTTTTTATTATATCGCCTCGGAATGCATACTACCTCCATTATTCATATATATATATATATTGGCAGAATGGCATAACCGACAAAGACAAGGGAGACTCGAATGGCCATTTCTGGCTTATTAGCCGTCGTCAGCCAGCCATACCCAAGCCCGAAGTGTGGAACACCCGAGCCTCGAACTCGCGACCTGTTGGTTTAGAGCGTGAACACTTTCGTCGTTTTTTTCACGTCCGTATTGACTAATGAGCAGAAGGTAAGCCAATCCAACCTCTCTGATTAAAGTACTGACATTTTTGCAAAAATTGTCGACTTCCCAACAGACGTCATGTGGCGGAATTGCTTGCGTTTAACGAAACGAGGTCTCAAGAATTATTTCTAACACTGACAAAAGCACTGTAAGATCTTTTTTCGAATTAGACAGGCCATTTCCATTTATCACTCATTCGCTGTTTGATCGAAATTAACGGCAGTTTACCTATTTTTCAAGAACGGCGTCCGGACAGGGTATGACACACATCTCTCGCAAAGCGAGAGAAAATATTGTTAAAAAGTTACATTGTGATTTCTCGATAAAAAGGGAGTTTTTGCCGGTGTGGAACATGGTTTTCGACAAAATAACTTTTGTTTGACCGAGAGGTCCTATTCAACGGAACAGCGGTTCGCTAAATCGAAAGAAAGCACGAGAATCGACGCAGTTTACGTTACTTTCAAAATGTCGTTGGCAAGTTCTTATCGTAATCAGCAGCATGGACCATTACCCGCATCGTCATTCGTTGTCTAACGCCCCTGTCAAATTAATGCTTGAACCATGTGCGACGCAACAAATGGCATGGCGAAAGCATGGCGTCGATAGACATTTTGCTCCCCACTGATGCGTACATACGAGTTATATTCGCCTACATCAGTCAGTGAGGAGCAAGATGTCCATCGATGCCATGCATTCACCACACCATTTGCTGGGTCGCACATGGCCCAGGCATTAATTTGACAGGCGCATTAGACAACAAAAGAGGATATGGCAACGGTCCGTGCTGGCGACCACGACACTGTCCAGCACTAACGCCTTCTTCATAAATTCAGCGCCCTCAGCATCCGGAGGGATAATCTCAACTGGATAAGGGTGTTTCTGGTTGGCCGTAAATAGCGTGTCTGTATTGCAGGTGATTTGCCGGACTGCGTGAACGTGGCAGCCGCTCCAGTCCCTCTTTGCTCCGGATCTGTTTTGTCGGTCGATGGCCGCGACAACCGTTGACACACGGCCATCCCCGCCGGCTAGAACTGGGGCATCTCCTGTCCAGCTGCAGTGACTCCCAGCTGCCCTCATAAACTTTCATCACCTCACGCGCGTCGGTCGCCCTGGCTTGATACCCATGAGCCCTTATTGGTATGCGCCCTCTATTCCACCCTTAATCCGTCTTATCAAGTGACCAACACTCAGTCAGTCTCCCCTTCCTGCTGACACAGACATTCACTCCCACGTAAACAACACACCGTGGCTGACGCTCTCAGGGAATTAAGGCTTAACTCTGTCAGAAGCAAACAGCCAACTCACGGCAATCTGTCCTGTGTACAGAATAAAACTGTTCTCTCAGTTCCTGACCTCTGACATAAAACGGAAAGAAATTCTTGTGTGCGGTTACAGTTAATCTTACCTCCTTGACCGCCACAAACGTAGTTAATGGTGTGCCTCAGTGCTCATTTCTCTGGCTTACTTTTCATCCTTTATGCTAATGACAGCCTTAGCGAACTCGACTGCGGCAAAATAATGTTAGCCGACGAAGTTTAACTCTGAAAAATCATTAAGGGTCCGAACGATCAGAAAGCCCTTCAAGATAATATGCACCGACTGCAAACGTGGTCCGAGAAATGGCTTCTGGACTTCGATGTGCAGAAGTGTGCTGTCCTTCATCCCCGTCCAACCAACTGTAATTCTAATGACAGTATGAGGGCGTATTACCTGAAAGACATTACACTTCCCACAGAATCTTCGCAGAAGGATCTCGGTGGTTGGATACATAACAACATAAAACCAGCATTACAGTGCACCAAGGCTGCAGAAAACGCAATGGGAGTACTTTGTGCGGTCAAAAGGGCGTTTGTAACTTTTGACAAAGACCTATCTGGGAGAGTTTATGGCACATTTTTCGGCCTCATCTACAAAATGGCATACAAACGTGGCGGCCACGACTAGCAAAGAACAAACATGCCTTGAAAGAGTGCAGCGCCTGCAACGGAGCTGGTAGAGTTTAAGAAGCCAGTCTTACACAGAAAGACTGCACTGTCTTAATTTATTCAATCTGTGGTATAGGCAGCGAGGCGGTGGTCTTACCCTGGTTTACAAGATAATGCATGGCCTTGAGCATGGACTGAGCTTCGAGGACATGTTTCAGTGGCATCTTTCGCCCAGTCTTTGTGGCCAATCAATGCAACTACGCAAGAAATTATCCAGACTGGACCTACGCTCTGGATTTTTTACACAAAGGGTAGTAGAAAAGCGGAATAATTTCCCTAAATAAGTCATGGGGGCGGAACCCGGTAGCTCTTCAAGAGGCGCCTGGATGATTAGTTTTCCCCCTTTTCCCTCAACAGTCTGAACCTGGGCTGGATGCCCGCGAGCCCAAGATAATTTGTCCTTAAAGCGGTGCTGCTTAAATCAAGCAAGTACCATTTTATTTGCGACAATCTTCGTCGTTCGTGTACGGTTGCATCTACCGAAGTGACATATAATCAAAAAGGTTTCCAAAGGCCTTATCTGTATCAAATAAGCTGAGGAAAAACTATTCCTGGCACAAGAAGGACAGCGGTTTGGCCAACTCTCGGGCAGGTTTAAAATGCAGCTTTTCAGGAATCTCGTCCGCACCGCGTTAAATATTACGATTGCTAGGGCGTAGCATGATGAAACAGTTGTTGCCGGCGACTTCGAAACTACCTGTACTGTTACGGCTACGGAAAGACTGCTATAGTAATTATGCTTCTCTGTATTTTGATATGGAAACATTATCGTCATCTGTCCTTGCACTTCGATAAGTCCTCAGTGGCGTACCACAACGACGGCCGTTTTTTCGAATACGGCGGTATCTACCGGCCCGGAAAGAGGGCCTCTCAGCAGGCCAATCACAGTATGTTCGCATAGGCAAGGCATAATCCGTTTCAGTGCCTGGTCTCGCTTCTCGGATCTTTGCTCTTCCCGTTCTATATCAGTGATTACATGGCAAGACTGGACCGCAGAGGACTCATGCCTAGAGTTAACATCAGGATCTGGCGGCCGATTGATTGTGATGGCGATAAGCGAATTCTACAGAAAAATCGTAATTGACTCTGTAAATGGTCTCGTAGATGGCCTCTGAAATTTAACGTCAAGAACTGCGCCCCAACCCCAACGGTAGACTCAAGCACCGACTCTTGTTAATACTTTTCAGCTGGTCTAGTCCATCGGTGACGTCATCCCACACTAAAACCAAGTCGAGAAAAGTCAGGCAAAACGACTACGCCAGAACGGACTTAACTGTCATCGCCGCCCGATGAAGAACAGAGGCAGTGGGTAAAAAGTCAGTTGGTGAAACCGAAACCCACACCAGCTGGGATGTGCGCGTAACCGTTACACAAACACCAGGTTAAATAAAAGTTAATAAATGCGAGTTTATAAAATGCTTAACGAATGAAATAACTATAAGAAGTTGTGAATAAACAAAAATATAACAAAGGGCCGCCACAGTATCCCAGCCTAGCACGCAGAGCGGACAAAGAGCGACAACAAGGGTAAATGCAATGTTAATAAACCTGAGTGGTGCGGCGATTGAGAAAGTGTGCGCGACGGCCGATACGAGTGGTGCGAATGTCATTGGCATTGGGACACTTAGGGTCGGGGGCGGTAGGGAAGTGGGGAAGAGGTGGAGGAGCATGGGGTAGGGAAGGTAGAGGATCACAGGGTAGGGGTCAGCACAGTCTTGTCCTTGAGACAGGTCCGGCGGCTCCTCTGCGACAGCAGCCCTGACCTGATCGACACTGACCACGTTCTCCTTGTCGCCGCGAAGGATCCGGTAGGCCTTGATATTCCGCGAAGGTACGCGAATGGTCCTTCGTAGGCTGGCTTCAGCGGCTTGCGCACAGGACTACATCAAACAAACACATGGGTGCAGTTGACCAGGCCTTCTTCAACATAAGTCTCGCTCGGTGGAGTTTGGGGTGGAACTGATGAAAGTGTGCGCGTGAAATATCGTAAACAATAGGCAAAGTCGATGGAACTCTAATTCAATTCAATTATTTTTATTAAAGACCCGTCGGGGTCCCATCAAAGCAAGAGAGGTTGGGGTGACCAGCTTGCGTGGAAGTCCGTGGGTAGTGCTAAACACCGATCCGGCCGCACTGCAATCCAAATCCGACCTTGATGTCGAGCGAATGCCGGGGAACACAAGCGACAGGTTGTAGTAACAATTGGTTAGGTCCCTCGAGGCATAGAGGGAGGTCTTTGGCTGCTGGCGGAAAAGCTCGACTGTGCCGTTGGCACCTGGATGGTGTCCCATCGTCTGAATGCAAGTGTAGTCAAGAAAGTTGAGGAGGGCCTGAAAAAGGGCAGATTCGAACTGGGCTCCTCGGTCAGTCGTAGCCATGTATGGGCACCGAAAACGGCGATCAAACGACTGACAAAAGCCTTACCAATGGTGTTCGCCCCAATGTTCGGTAATGGAATGGCGTCAGAATAGCGGGTGTATCGGTCGGCGCAGGTAAGAAGGTGAATGAAACCATTGGATGTAGGCAGGGGACCTGCGACATCGAGATGGACACGGCTGAACCGTGAGTCGGAGCCGGTAAAGTGCCAGTTGGGGACTTGTTGTGGCACCGCACCTTGTTCCGCTGACAATTCAGACTCGACCGGGCCGAAGCTTTGACCCCCTTATTTATGCCAGCCCAGATAGACCTTTCCACAAGGACCTTTTGTGAGGCTTGGATCCGAGGGTGGGAGAGTCCATGCAGAGTTTGAAACACAGTCCCACTCATCGAGGCGGGCACAAAAGGGCGATGAAAGGGAGTTGAGACGTCACAAAGTATGGTACCAGAGCCGGTGGTCAGAGGGACAATTTAGAGTTGAAGACCACTAACGGACTCTTCGCCAAGAAAACCGACTCGTGCTTGCTCAGCCGCTTTGTCACAAAGGTTGATCCCGTGTGAGAGTGGGCGGGAAGATGTTGAGGGCCTGGATGGCATGTCGGTCACCTCATTCTTCGTACTACAAATGTGACGGATGTCGATGATGAACTGGGAGATGTAGTCCAGGTGGGTGATCTCTCTCAGGTTGTAAACGTCGGAGTGGGGACGAAAAATAATGGTTGACGGTTTGTGGTCCGTGCAAAGGACGAAGTCCCGACCTTCGAGGAAATTTAATTTAATTTAATTTATTAAATGCTAGTTTACAGGCATTGTCAAGGGAAGCGATTAAACACAAATCCGACTAAAAGTGAAAAAAAACTCCTGAAGAATAAAAATATAGTTGATGATGTTTTTTATGGTTTGAAGGGTTCAGGAGAAAAAAAACTGCTGGCGGTATATTTTCGACCGTCAAGAAGGGGGAGGAGGGGGTTGCACGGTATCGGAGATCATCGGACGTCAATTCCTTTCATGAAGTTGGGGATAGTCAAAGTAGAGGCGTTGAGGAACAGCTGGTGAGCCCGGCCATAGTGTTCAGAGACCACAAACGCCATCGCTACGGTACAGTCGATCAGTGGATTCAGAACCCAAAATTTGAGGAAGCTTTTCTGAATGCAAAAATCGAGTAATAGTTCTCTAAAATAAAGGATAATTTTGCAGAGTTTTCACACTCATTGGTAGTTTATTCTAGATAGCAATTGCATTTACAGAATAGAACCGACGATATTTAACAGTACGTGCGAGAGGCAGAAATAAGAAGACCTCACGGTGACTGTTACGTCGGGGGTGGATATGATGTCTTAAAGAGGTGAGTGGATTAAATGTGTGATTATATAAGAGTTTAAATAGCAAAAATAGTCCCTTTTGTAATTTACGGAACCATAAAGGATCAAGGCCCGCAAGCCGGCAACGTTCTTGGTAAGACAAATGTCGGTGTTCCGGGGCTAAAATTCTCTTGGTAAAAAAGTGTTGAACGGATTCTATTTTCTTCCGCTCAGTAGCACGCATGAGGCTAAATAAAAACGAACAGTTTTCCAGACCAGGAAAGCATAACAGCTGAGTAAATGACAAGTAATTCACGGCCAAAGGTTCCGTAGAGTGTCTCAGCCGGCAAGAGCTTTCTGGAGAAGGAGGCCAGTGGTCAAGTCGAACCAGCAAGGTATTGTCAAAGGACTGCACCTACAGCCACGGTAGAAGCATCTACCCTCAGGACAGCTGCGCTTCGGGAGCGGGATGCGCGAGCAAGGTGGCGTCAGAAAGCAAATTCTTGATTTTATCTAAAGCCATCAGTGCCTCATCAGTCAGTCCGAGACGGCCTTTGGGACCAGAATGCGTGGTGGTGAGCAGCAGTATGAGGTCAGCACAGTTTAATAGGAGCCGGCGGTAAAAATTGACAATGCCGAGGAATCGCTGCAACTGACGCTTAGAAATCGGTGGAGGCAAATCACAGATTGCTTCAGCCTTGGAGGACAGGGAGACGCAACCCTTCAGAGTCGACATGAGGGCCGAGAAATTTGATCGAAGACACACCGAGAACGCACTTAGGAGAATGACGATAACGCCAAAGCTGTCGAGGCTGTCGAACATCAAGACAGTGAATCATTCTCAGTCATTTATTTATGACGATGATCTCAAATGTGTGTATTCATTCAATAAATCTACGAGCCTTCATTGCCTGGAGCAAATCCACGCCGACTTGCTTGCTCTCTCAGCTTGGAGCTCAAAATGGCTAGTGGAATTCTCTCCGTCTTAATGTAGCTAAATGTGCTTTGGACCTGATAGGATACCACATCCAGTGGTCTTTCAAGGCACATCTATGACCGAATGTATCACCATCAAGGATTTAGGTTTAAGCTACTCCAATAATCTTGATCCGTCGCCACACGTCGACAGAATTACAGCCAAAGCTGCCTAGATTTGTGGCTTTATTTCTTACAATTTTTATCTTCCTGAAATTACGTTAAGACTCTATCGAGTGTTTGTACTGCCCATTCTCGAGTATTGTTGCCCATTCTTTGGTTTGATGAACGAGGCTAGCCGCTCAAAAATAGAAAGTGTTCAAAAACATTTTACTAGAAGGCTCTTAGGTTCTGAACACCCAAATATTTCCTGTTCAGATAAATACTAGATAAGTAACCTAAATTTTTCTATGGGTTCGAAGACTAGAAGCAGACATCTGTCTCCTCTTTAGCATTTATAATAGTTCAAATCTTCCTCGGATTTCAGAAATTACGTTTACTAGTCGCCCATCCATTCTTCCCAACTCTTCCTTGATTATACCTCCTCCTGCTTCCTCCACTTCTAAGCGCCTTCTTTTTTCGCGTCCAGGCGTACTTTTCTCTTGAATAACCTTCCAATAAATATAAGATCATCAGAAAATCCACGTGCTTTTAGGCGAAGGCTGCGCCTTAACCTGAATACAGACTCGATTAAAATTTTTATTTTCCTCATCACTCCCGGACAACGCTCTCTATGACACTGAGAAAGGACCATCGGGAATTTAGGACGCCGACATAAAATTTCCGTATCCGCTCACATTTCCTTCTTTTGTGTGTACTTTCGCTTCCTAGGATCCTTCATCAGAAATTTTAATTTTTCGATTTTTCAGTTCATGCATCGTGCCCTTCATAGAGTGCAATACACACTCTGACAAATTCTCTCAAAGAAATAGGTTGGATAGGTCAACGTGCATGCCCTAAACCGCCTCATTTTCGCTGACTGCCGACACTTATCAGAATTTGACCCTTTCCTCCGTGATTTCGGACCCTCATCCTGCAGATCTTGATGTCAACTCCTCATTTCAACCCCAAGTATGCTGTTTACGTTCACGGCGCGAACCCTCTGCTTTCGCCATTTGCTAGAAATTTTGTCGTGCGACAAAGAGGTCTCAGGGTCGCATTCTCCCCTCTACAGATCCCTCTGTTTTGCCACTTCGAGGCGGATAAACTTATTCGGATTAGAAAGCTCTGCCTTGACGATTTAATTTTTGAATCCCTTACGAAATACTATATGCAGGCCAGTCTTGTTCGACTCGTATATTTTCCCTCCCATGAGCGATGGTATTTTTCTCCTTAGATGTTAACCAATTCATACTCACCTATGTTTTTTCCTAAGGAGTTTTTTCACTGCTCGCTGACCGTTTTTATATATAACAGTTTATTCTGCAGCCGAAAACTGACAAAGTATGCAGAATCTGTATAATATATCTAAAGTTTACTTGAAAATGTGTATTCGCCTGCTTTGACGAGAGCCCAAGGGTCTTTTAATAAGATCATTTATTTATTTATTATTTCTAAACACACACACACATTCTCTCTCTCTCTCTCTCTCTCTCTCTCTCTCTCCAGGGTTTCTATGTCACGCCACATTTCACATCCTCTGACTCAGACTTCTCAAGGACTTTGTAATTTAGTTATGTATTTACAACCCATAAATAAAAGAAGATATAAGTGAGCCTACACCAGCTGGGACACGGGTCGTGCCGATCCTTCTGACTTGTAAGATATCTCGTGCATGGAGCGGGAAGCCAACGAACATGAAAAGGCATAAAAACTTACTACCGTACCCTTCTGGATAAGTAATGTGAACGGTCGATCCTTCTTCAAACTTCCTATGAATTTAGCTGTCTAGCCCCTCCTCGGCCGTTTTGACTTTTGGTGTTTTAGTGCACCATTAAAATCTGGCGCACTTTTTCGAATCGTCCGAGTGGTGCTTGGTCGCGTTTTTGGCACATGGACATTGTTGAGCTCGATCTAAACTCTGCTGTCAGGGAGGTTCTCAAGAACGCTACCGCAGCCAATGGCCTTACCTGCGGAC